TTATTAGCCTATACTTAAGTTTAAGTTATCCTGTACTGGGCCTGTGTTAATGGGCCTAAGCTTGTTTAATGTTTTAAATTGTCTGGGTGTCCCATCACTAATCAGGGGCATTCCAGTAATTCCTTGTATCATTGTACTACATTCTAATATAAATAATAGTATTGTCGACTGAGCTATTCAGTTCGACATTCACAGTATTTCAGAGGTCTTCTCTTCTCTACTACTTCGAATACAGCTCCTAAGCTCACAATGAAAACACACCCAACCACAAACTTAAACCCCCATGGAAGGTGTAGACATTATAAGAGAGGGCTAGAAAATTAATTCAAGCATTCTTCTTTCCTCCAAGCAATGTTGTGCACCTTAATAGGGTGGAGGACCCTTTTGTAAGTCAGTTATACAATCAGATTTATGCACAACACAATTCCAATTAAGTATCTATGCCGTTCCTAATCAAATAATTTCAATTGGACAAGTAATGAACAATTACCAACCCAATTATAATATGATAAATCTAAATTTTCAAAAATCATACAACAAATAGCACCGATTACCTCAACTTAAATTTAATAGGTCAAGAGAAGTGTTAATTCTTTTTCTGATGTATTTCGAAAAAAGGGGCAGGTAGAGATCAATTATTCTGGGCCTAATTGTAATTTGGTTGAAAGGATAAAGAGGAGAGTTGAGACTTGAGAGAGCTTATTTCTCCCCTTACCTCTTTGAACTTGTTTTTCATTAATTTAATAAATTTTAAAGTTATTGATAAAATAATTATTGGAACAAAAAATATGCATACATAAAGCAGCAATCATTCTCTGTAAGGGCTTGTCTGAACCCAATAACAGAGTAAGAGGCTACCTACTAATTGTCAAAGTCATATTTAGAACAATATCAAGAGCTGTAGTTGCATGATTATTATTTATTTATCCATTTGTGGAGCTATCACATGAATAAATGTAAAATATATGAGATACTTCTCAGTATGTGATCCCATAGCTGAATATATAAAAAAAGATCACCTTTCAGTGGAAATAGGCTTACCACATGTTATTTTCTTCTGATCATTTGCAAAAAGCCTCACCAATTCGCCCTACGAAAAGTGAATATTTTAGGTGCATGATGCAAGTAGACAAAGATATCTCATGTACGAGAAGACAATAAACATTTATTCATAATGAAATTAATGAAGGCTACTATTCTACTAAATATACAACATCATTTGAGTAGAGAATTTTGTCTACCAAATTGGAAAAAAAATTATAGAAGATCTGGTTAGTTGGGATTTTGTAGTGAAATAATGAAAGCAAGGTAGGTGGAAAAAAGGTTTTACATAGACTATGGAGTTGACTATATAAAAACATTTCTCCTGTAACTAAGATTCACTCAACTAGATTTATACCATCTCTTGTTGGAAATTTGTCATGGTCCCTTCATTAGTGGGACATCAAGAATGATTTCTTGTATGGTAACCTAGAAGAAGTGTACACGATTCAGCCATCAAGACTCTAGGGTGATGGAAGTGAGAAGAAGGTATGATGATTCAAGAAATTTCTCTATGGGTTGAAATAGGCCTCAAGCTTAGTTTGACAAATTTAATAAGGTGGTTCAACAGGTGGGTTTTAAACATTGTTAAGCTGATCATACATTGTCTGTAAAGAGACATCATGACAATAGGATAAAAGTAATAAAACATATTTATTGAAAAATTAATAATAATAGGATTCTGAATCATGTTGTGAAATCCCTATTCGATTCTAGGATAAAGTAGAGAAGAAGAGGAGAAAGAAGAAGAGAAAGAAGAAGAAGAGAAGAAGAAGGGTTCAGCCAGATTAGGAAAATCAGTTCACCTCTAGCCGACCCACTTGTATTTATCTCCAATAACATAGTTACAAGAAAGACCATATTGTCCCTCAT